TGAGGCAGGAGGATCACTGTGGGTTTGGAGGTCAGCATAGGCTACATAATGGGTTCAAGTGGATTACGCAGTGAGCCCTGTCTCAGAAAGAAGAAGATGAAGACAAAGGTGAAGATGAAAGAAAAAAGGTCTGTTTTACATCTAACATCAGTATAGCTTGGATGGCCCCAAGTACTCAGACTGTCCAGGGTCCCCAGCAGTGCCCCTTCCTCCATGCCCGGGGCAGGGCCTGGAAGCTAGGGCTGTGCCTCCCATTTTGTGAGTGCCAGTCTTTAGTGCAGCATCCATATGACTACCCACTGTCAGTTTTTTGGGTTCATACTCAGAATTGATAAAATGTATTTGTTCCTGAATTTTCATTTTAAGGCATGAGTTAGCTTTTGAAAAGGAAATAATATTGGTTTTGGAGGCCGAGTCTCCTGAAGTAGCACTGGCTGGCCTCAAACTCAGGTGATCCCCTTGCCTCAGCCACCTCAGTGCTAAGATTAGAGACAGGCCTGTGTCACCACGGCTGAAAATAATTTTAACATAAAATGTGTGTCCAAGGTGTGATGGTAGAATGTTCATGTCTCCTGCCCGAGCTCTCTGGAACCACAGTGCCCCTCACTTAACTGAGTGAAAACCCGGGCTGGAAGTCCAAGCCTTTCGGGCTTCTCCAGGGTTAGTCAGGACTAAGCCAGGGCCGCCAGGGCCTCCTGGTGTCCCCTCCAACCTCAACCTCTTAGATCTCGCCTCCCCCAACCCCAGGCAGTGGACTGGGGCACACAGACCACTTATCATGCCGTAGTTTACATCTACTCTAGCTGCCATATTTAATATATTACTGTTTTAGTGCAGTTTTATTGCTGGCTGTACTCATGGTATTGGGCATGGAAGCCAGGGCCCTGCATGCGTGGGGCCAGGGCTCTGCCACTCTGCTACATCCCCAGCCTTTTCATTGTCTCTTGAGACAGGGGCGCTCTAGTTGCCCGAGCTGGCCTTGAACTTGACCCTCCTGCCTCACTCTGTCACGTGACTCCAGTGTGTGCCACTGTGCCCACCTACTACACTATTTCTTGCCTGTGCTTTGTTAATTCTTACTTGTTCATGCTGCAGTGCGTAAGGATCACATTCTTCTTGGGGACCTGGGACATGCATATCACACTCCTGATTCTTTCCCCACTCCCTTCCTGTCCACTCTCTCCCATTTTTTATTGCTGTTGTGTTTTTTTGAGACGAGGCTTCACTATGCAGTTTAGGCTGGCCTTGAACTCACAGTGATGCTCCTGCCTCAGCCTCCCCAGGGCTGGGATTACCGGTGTGTGCATCACGCTCTCCCACCCTTTTTTCATGGTCTGCGCCTCCTGGTAGGACTTTAGCTCTGTAAGGACAGGGCCTTTGCCTGCTCCCTGCATAGTGGCCCCCTGACCATGGGACACCCTGCCACCAGCATGTGTTGGTCACTATGTAGGCAGTGCTACAGTTAGCTCCACAAGGAAGCGAAGAAGCACTTCGGAGTCGCCCAACCTAAAGATGTTCTCGAAGCTACACTCAGGTGACGGACACAGGAAGCAGAGGATGTCCCCACCGTTGCGACACGCTAGGTGGCAGGATATTGCCACAGGCCCCAAAGGCTAACACGTCCAAGTGCCAGCCCAGAATTGTGGATGCACCAGGAGCTGGGAAAGGGATCTTTGCAGATGCAGTTAGAGTTGGGGTACCAACCCAGAGGATGGTTCTGGGCTCTGCGTTCTGGGTTGAAGGCAGGCTGTCACCTGCAGGGTCTCTCACTCCCAGCTTTCATGCTGCTGTAGGCTGGACCTTTCTGGGGTGGCACGACCAAGGAAGCGCCATCCTCAGGGAGGGCTGAAGGCCACTGGAGGGCGCTCGGGAGTTGCCGCACTCCCTGCTCTTCCTGGTCTCTGCCTGGTGAGCGGAAGTCGCTCCCCTTGGAAGGGGGAACCGTGGCCAAGGTACCGTTTGGGGAGCAGAGGCCGGGCCCTCCCTCTCTGCTCCTTTGCGATGAAGTCTCACAAGGTCACTAAGTTGCCTAGCTAAGACACTAAATTGAGATCCTTCTGGCTTAGCCGCCAGGAGTGCTGGAATGACCGATGTGTGCTACCATGCCATGTCTCGTAAAAGATGCGCAACAAATATTCACCGGATGAATATTATATGAATGGAGCCAGGTTGGCAAGCACAGGGTTCTGAGTTCGATTCCCAGTACCCCCCCAAAAAAGAATATTATATGCATGGAATAATTATAGTGCTCTGGGGCCAATAAGGTTATTTCATTGAAAATGCTTCTGAAAAAAGCGTGCTTTTTTTCTTTCTCTCTCTCTTTTTTTTTTTGGTACTAGGGATGGGATTCAGGGCTTTCATCCTGAACTACATCACCAGCTCCACCCCCTTTATACATTCTGTGTTTTCCCAGAAAATAAGGCCTAACTAGAAAATAATTGGACTTTAAAACTAGAGTTCAAAACATGGCAGCCCCATTCAGCCTTACTGCCCTACAGAGAAGCCACCAAGCAAGAGAACAGTGAGCCACAGACTGTCACCATGGTAATGACCATTGCTTGTTTTCGAGTTATGTCTTAATTTTAGGAAAACATGGTTTTATTTTGAGACAGGGTCTCACAAAGTTGCTAAGTTGCCCAGGCTGGGCTCAAACTTATGATCCTCTCGCCTCAGCCTCCCAGAATGCTGATATTATGGGCATATAACATCAGAGTCAGCACACAGATGCATTTTTAAATTTTTTCAACACAGTATTTAATAAACATCTGGGCCATTCCATGATGGTGTTTACCAAAGTGAAGCTGAGCCTCATCTTTTAATTTAGCTGAACTCTGGGTGCTGGCTGGCATCTGAGCTGTGGCCGCAGCTTCTGGGCCCTGGAGCAGGTGGACAGGGGAGAGCAGGGGCTGCTCAGCCCTGAGCACCCAGCTCATCGATTTCCCAGGTCAGGCCCATAGCCGTCCACGCACCCTGATCAAGGTCCTGCCTCAGCACCAGCAGCCCAAGGACCTGCGGGCACAGCTGTGGTGTTCATGTTGCCGCCCAGCCCTGCTAAACAGTGCCCCGTAGCATTGTAGAACACTTCCCGAGGGCCTGTCCTGTCACCCTGGAGACAGGTTTCTCTCTCTTTTTCCTTCTTCACAAGCCTGGAGGTGACAACCAGTGCTGGTGACTGAGCATTTCTCAGTGACATGCTGGGGTCTTGCAGCCCATGGTGGTGGCAGCCTGTGCCAGTTGCCCTGGGGCCAAGATGGCCTGTGTGTGGGGGGTCCTCTGGATGTGCCAGCCGTTTTCAAAACTGTCAAGCAAAATTGGGTGTGACGATGCACGCCTGTAATCCCGGCATTGGGAGGCTGAGGCAGGAGGATCATTGCAAATTTGAGATCAGCCTGCGCTAACAAAGTAAGCTTAAAGCCAGCCTAAACTGCACAGTGAGACACTGTCTCAAAAAGGCATCAAACAAAACCACAAAAAACAAAGATGTCAAATAACACTGCTTCCTTTAGGGCCTGAGTCACACCTGTCTTGCTAGACCCTGGAGGGTTATTTTCTTTTCCGAGAGATTGTTGTAATTTAAGTGATTGTTTTAATAAAATCCTAAAATGTAATAGTTAAAAAAAAAAAATCAACCCTTGGCCAAAAGCTAAATCGTGGGAGGTGCTGATGAGTCTGCTTTCTGAGCATGCTCAGTGTGTTGGCATGGAAACAGGAAGCCCAGCCCCCAAGAGTCACTTCACAAGATGGCTACCATTTCTAGGATGCAAATAAATTTTTTCCTGGTCCTTGGATATGTTGTACGTAAGCTATCAGTACTTTCCTTAACCCTCTATGACTGCAGTTACAGTTCCAAAACCCCCGAGGAAGCCCCTTAACAAAATAAAGAAACCATGACAGCAGCACCAGTTTTGAATGTTTTGTGTGGTGCTGGGGATCAAACCCAAGGCCTCTCACATGCTAGGCAAGTGCCCTACCACAGGGTGTATCCTAGGCCCTTATTTTTATTGGTATTTGTTTATTTATTGTTGACACAATGTCTTGCTATGTTTTCCAGGCTGGTGCTGATCTTCTGGGCTCAAATGACTCTTGTCTCATCCTCCCAAGTAGTTGGGATTACAGCTGTGGACCATCATGCCCAGCCATACATACTTTTATTAACCAAAATTGGAATATTTACCATATAAAGAGCTGCCTTTGTTTTTCATTGCTATAAAAAAAAATACCTGGAACCAGGTGATTCATTAAGAATAGAGGTTTATTTAGCCTGTGGTTATGGTGGCTGAGAAGGCCAAAAGGATCTTGCCAGCACCTACCTTCTCTCCCCCCAAATAAGACTTATCTGGAAAATAATAAGCCTTGAAAACTGGAGATCAAAAATGCTACCCCAGGGCTGGGGATATGGCTCAGTGGCACAGCGCCTGCCTAGAAGCACAAGGTCCTGAGTTTAGTTCTGGTACACACACACAATGCCACCCCTGGTCAGCCTGTCCTAGTCTTACCTGCATTACTGGGTGGCCATTGAGCAAGAGAGTAGTGATCACAGGTCAGGCAAGGATGGACTGTCTGGGGCTGGCATTTTGGTCTCCAGTTTTCAAGGCTGATTATTTTCTGGCTAGCTCTATTTCCAGGGGAACATGGTACTCAGGACCTTCTTGCCACAACATAGCAAAAAAAAAAAAAAAAAAAAAAAAAATGGCATCATCATACAGCCAGACAGAGCAAGCATACATCAGTGCAGGTTGCTCCTCTTCCTCCTCCTCTTCTTTTTGATTGTTTTGGGGACTGAACTCAGAGGCTTTGCACTGAGCTACATCCCTAGCTTCTCCCCCATTTGTCTTTTGTGAGATAGAATCTTGCTAAGTTTCAGAGGCTGTGCTCAAATTTGTGATTCTCCTGCCTCTGCCTCCCAGAGTGCAAGGACTACAGGCATCACACCTGGCTTCTCTTCCTCTTCTTCCAAAGCCACCAGCTCCATCCTGAGGCCACCATCCTGATGACCTTACCTCAGCCTCTTTACCTCCAAGCAGGATCAGCGTAGGAATTCAGGGATTAAGTTTCCAGCACAGGAATTTGGGGCAGCACATTCAAACCCTTGTAAAAAAAACAAAGGTCTTCACTGAATGGAACAGAAATTAGCATTAGCGTTGTAATTTAGGAAAGAACTTCAAGAAGCTGTATTTTCACACATGGGCATCACTATGGTTTAGCTACCCAGTGTCTCTCAAAAACCTCAGGGTGGGGGGCTGTCGAAGGGGATCGGATTACCAGGCTCTTACTTCATCTGTGGATCAATCTCTGGATGAGATCAGAATTGGAAGGTGTTAAGTAGTGATGGGAGAATGGCCTTGGGGACTGTGTCACCCCTGGCCTCATCCTGTTTTTTGAGACAGGGTCTTGTTCTGTAGTCCAGGCTGACTTTGAACTCAGTATACAGCACAGGCTGGCCTCAAACTCATGGGACGTGATCTTCCTACCTCAACCTCTTTAGGAGTGCTAGGATTACAAACCTCCCACACACACAGCTGGCCCCATCCTCTTCAGCTCTCTCCCTGATTTCCCAGCTTCTTGGCCCCCATGAAGTGAGCAGCTTCCTCTGCCATGGCCATGTCCTCTACCTTGATGCCTCTGCCCTGTCATGGGCCCAAGAGCCTTGCAGCCTTGGAGAATGGACTGAAACCTCGGCAACTGTGTGTCAAAAGCCACTTCCCACGTTGTGGCTGTTTTTCCCCGATTGCAGAGATGCAAACTTGGCTAACAGAGACATGGAGGAGAAATCAACTCAGCTAGTGTAACTGGAGGGTGGCTGACATACACATCGTGATGCCAACATATATTCCAATTCCAGATCACCATAGAGGTCTAAATTATGGAAGCAGCTGTCAGCAGTATTTTATTTACTGAAACCAAGCAAAGCAGGTATACGTGCAAAGAAAAGTTATTTCTAAGACTAAGACCGTATAAGCAGCACTTGTAAGGAGGAATTTCAGCTGGGTTGTGTGGTTGGGTTTTTTTTTTTTTTTTTTTTTTGTCTTAAAAAAAAGTTTAAGGCAAGGCACTAAGGTAGCATGTGAGACTCTCAACCCAGTGACATCATCGGTCTAAAAGAACCAATCAGAAAAGTGTGATTTTCAATCCTTCATTTGAATGGAGGCTGCTCACAGGACCAATCAGAAGATGCTCCTTTCAATCCTTCATTTGCATATGGGCACAGCCAATCAAAACACACTGTTTCTGATCCTTCGTTTAGATACAGCAGGAAAGCAAACTAGCTTTCTCATAGGACGGTTTACACCTGGGGTGAGGCCCAGTGTGTGATTGGACCACTGTCAGGATGCCTCATTTGCATGAGAGGGAGATAATCTGATAATTCTGGATAATAAAGACCCCTTGCCCTTATCTTGGGGCACTGTGACCGCTGTCTCTAGTCTCCTCTCACCCTAAAGAGTGCATTTCTTTTCCCCTTGAATACATGGACACCCTTCTGGCTTTTCTGAGTGCCTTGTCCAGCTCTTTGTTTGAGAACCCAAAGTTCTGGAGAAGCTCCGGGAACCCTGCGCACAATAACAGCGTTGCCACCAACCTCACCATTTCTACCTGGCTAGGGCACAGCCTCCCCATCCGGATCTCTCTTCCCTGTGATGTAGACTACAAATACACGTCGCAGCCAGATGATTTTTCCTGCACTGCGCTGGTGTGAAATAGCCCCAACCAATTCCTGACTTCTTAGCTCTGGCGGTCCGGATACCCAATTGGTCGTTCACTTTTGAAAACCTACTTTCTCGATGCTCTCCTTATTCATTTTTAATTTCATTCTATCGGCACATCATGTGACCAAATGGCTCAAAAATAAAACAGCATACATAGTGGCCATGCTTATAGATAGTCCCAGAACCCAGGAGGCTGAGGCTGGAGGATCACTGTGAGTTCCAAGCCGGCCTAGGCAACAAAGTGAGTTCTGAACCAACCTGAACTACATAGCAAGATCCTGTTTCAAAAAACAAAGTCTCCAGTAGAAAGTATCTTCATTAACCCCAGAAGAAAACTTTAATAAAACCATGTTAGTCTGCGTCTGTAACAAAACATTATAAACTGTGTGGCTTAAAAAATAGTTCTGGTGGATGAAAGCCTGAGACTGAGATAAGGTGCTGCTCACGGGACCAATCAGAAGATGCTCTTTTCAATCCTTCATTTGCATATGAGCACAGCCAATCAAAACACTGTTCCTGATCCTTTTTTTTTTTTTTTCTTTTTTTTGTCTTTTTCCTTTTTCCTTTTTATCTTCCGGGCATCGAACTCAAGACTGCCTGCTTGCAAGGCAGGCGCTTATGCAGCTGAGCTAAATCCCCAGCCCCATGATCCTTCATTTGGATGGAAGCCTGAGACTGAGATGTGGGGCTGCTCACAGGACCAATCAGAAGATGCTCTTTTCAATCCTTCATTTGCATATGGGCATAGCCAATCAAAATACACTGTTCCTGATCCTTCATTTAGATACAACAGGATGGTATGAGGTACCTCTAAAACCTGTGGGGACTCCTGTCTGGGTTCTTCCTAGATCTCTGCTTTTGTGTACACTGCCATTTTGGCTTTGGTCACCACATAACCCCCTCTCTGTCTTTTCACAGGGCCATCTTCTTGTGAAAGCAGCAGTCACAGTGGATTAGCACGACCTCACCTTAGCTGAAGACAACCAAATTGGTCCTGTTTGCCAGAAAGGGCACATTCTGAGCTACTGCACTTGGGGCTAATATTAATTACCTTTTCCAGGAACGCACAGTTTAACTCACAATTCAGGCCTCAGATGTCCCTGCTCTTCTTAGGTAGGGAACAACCATGGGGTCATTGTAAGTCATCCTTGATTTAGAAGTCAGCCTTCCCAGTCCCTGATATTTATCAGTCCTGCCAGCTGCTGTCCACAGCCAGCTGGGCCAGGGGTTAGGGCTGCCTGTTCGCAGGAAAAGCGAGGCTGGAGGCTTCCGCTTGCTCTGTCCCGACCTCTCTGGTGTCCAGCAGTTGAGCTGCCGCTGCTGGGGGTGGGTGGGCCTGAGCTGGCCCAGAAGCGCTGTGTCTCTGGCCCTATCTTGCTTTTTTTTCTTCATTGTGTTTTGGAGTTTCTCTGGTGATGTCTACCCTGGATTTTCTAATTGCAGCCGGTATTATTCTGAGAACTATCTAGGCATGTGGCGCATGCCAGTAATCCCTGAAGTATTAGAGGCTACGGCAGGAGAATGGCAAGCTTGAGCCCAGCTTGGGCAATTTAGAGATTTAGCAAGACCCTGTGTCCAAATAAGATTTTAAAAGGGGGTAAGCTCAGTGGTGCAATGCCTGCCTTGCAGGTCCAAGGCCCTGGGTTCAATCCCAGTACTGGTGCCAAAAAAACAAACAAACAAAAAAAACGGATTAAACTTTGTTTTTGGAATAGTTTTAGATACATACACAAGACATTTGTAAAAAAGTGAAGAGAGTTCCAGTGCACCAGTCTTTCACTTATATGTGCCGTTAGTATGATCCACTTGTTACAATAAGCTCATATTGATACTTGTACTATTGGTCCGTGTTTTATACTTATGTCACAACACAGCTGTCACTTAGATGTCTTCTGTTTTTTCCTTTTTTGGCACTGAGAATTGAACTCAGGACCTCACATTTGCCAGGCAGGCACTGTGCCACTGAGCTATATCCCTGGCCCATGTCCTCCCCTCTTCCCTGGACTGCACTGTTCTGTGTGACTGTTCTGTCTCCTCACCTCCTCCTGGCTGTGAGAGTTTCCTCAAGCTCTGTTTGTTGAAGCTCTGACAGTTTTTAGGCTGGTGAGCTATTTTGGAGAATGTTCTACTAGGATTTGTTTGATGGTTTTCTCACAATTACCCCGATTTATGGATTTTAGGATGTGTGGTATAGAACAAAATATATGCCATATTTGGGTTTTGACCCAAACTCCAAGCACAGAGCTCCCAAGCCCTTGGGATTTCCTGAGTGATAGGAGCGTCTGCCCTTGGTCATGGCACTGTCATCCATGCCCAAGTTCCTATTGTGTAGACCGAAGGCCAGCTTCTGGATAGATGCAGGCTAGGCTTGGTGACCAGAAAACCAGCTGAGGGTTTCTGAGGCAAGGAAGAAGGGCTGCAGTGGCTGTGAGCACCAAAGGTCACATTATCATGCCTATGTAGTAAAGCCCTAATAAAAACCCTTCACCATGGAGTTCAGGGAGCTTCCTGGCTGGTTATCCCATTACCTCCTCCTCAGGTCTGTTCCTGAGTCCTCCTTGTATATTTCTGTTACCCTGGGTACTGGGGTCCAAGTTGGGTTTCTAGGTCCTCCCTCAAGAGATTGGTGTAGAAGACAACTGTGGCTGGAGGTGCACATACTGAAGTCCAGGCTGCAAGAAAAAGAACTGCTCACACATTCCCCCCCTAGAGATGAACTGATGTTCTTTAGGCATCAATCACCTTGGGGTGGGTGGAGGGCCAAACCACCTTTCCCAACCCTTCCAGGAAAGTCCTTGTCTGCTTACAGGTACTCACCCAGCAGCTTGTTTCCCCATTTGATCCTCATTTAATCGATATTACCCTCAATTCTATTTGTTGGATACTTACTGGTTGACCAGAGATTTGTCCCACCTCATACCCATCCTATGATTTGCCATTAGATCAGTATTACCTAAATGACTATACATGTAAGCTTATTTATTATAGGTCTGTTCCACCTTAAGCCCGCCTCACCTCTTGACTACTCTATAAACACCCCATGAGAAGTGGGGTCGGTGGGCCACCCACTATCAGGTCCCTTCTGTCCCTCCGAGACAGAAGCTTTCTTTCAGTAGGTTCTTCCCACTCTTAAACTCCGTTACTCCTAGAACTCATTCCTGCTGTAAAGAACAGCAACTCTGAGCTGTGGACATCTAGCAGGTTGGGCGTGTCATCCCCTGCCAGGGCAGCTGCCCTGTCCGGCAGTGCTTTCTTTTGATTGGCCATGTGAGACGCGGTCCATTCCACGAGCCATCCACGGACTCCCAGGGAATAAAGGTCTGGCACATGAGATGCCAGCTAGAGATTAGGGATCTTGAGTTTTCTTATCTAGGTGGAAAAGGCCTCAGGATAAAGGGCAGGGTTCCCCAGGTTCAGGCAAGTGGAGGGGAGTGGCCCGACAGCCCCAACTGTTCGATCTGCCTCACGATGGTAATACCAAGTAATGGCCCAGGAGCACCAGCTCCTTCGAGACAACTGCAGGGTGGGGGCTTCACAGCTTCTAGTGGCAAAGGGGGACAAGGCCTGAAGGGACCCCACTTGGGCTGGCTGAGCCCTCGGACAGTGGGGTTCCGCTTAGCCCCCAAGTTAGTGTCACAATCGAACTCCTGGACACCTCCTCAGGGTCGGAAAGAAGCCCTCAGGAGGCGGGCCCAGAGGCGGGGGGGGGGGGGCCGCCCTCAGCAGGGCACGGGGCAGCTGTGGGGGCAGCAAAGCGCCCGCCGCCCGCCAGGGGGCGCAGCGCGAGGGACGCGGCGGCACTCGGGGGCTGAGCGGGTCAGGACGCCGTGGGCTGAGACTTCGGGCCTCGCCGGGGGAGCTGTGACCGAACGCTGGGAGTCGCATCGCAAATCGGGCTGCGGGACAGCAACGGGAACAATCGAGCGCCGCCTGCGCTCCTCCCAGGGCCCCCCGCCAGTGCGCATGCGCTGCGCGCCGGGCTTCCCATGCCCCGCCCTCATCCCTCCCGTTCCTTTTCCCCGCCTCTGTCTCCTCCCCAGTGATCTCGGTGTTTTGCTGAAGTTGATGCATAGCAAGAAAAAATTGGTCTCCTCTCGGCAATGACAAACCAGGAAAAAAATACTGTGCAACATGTGTCACAGGTAAAGAGTTAATAGTCCCAGTATGTAAATGACTTGTAAAGATTGCGGGAACCAAAGATGAAAAGTCCAAATTAAACATCAGCAGAAATGACGTAATACCGGTCCTAAAACACATGGAAGGACGTTCGGTTTCTGTCCCAATAGGAGAGGAACTATACAGTAATTTGAGATACAACTTCTGACATACTGCAAAGAAGGCTGAAACAGGACGACCTCTGAGGGAAGCAGGCGCTGTGCTGCGTAAGGGTGGGGATGGGAGAGGGCTCGGCCCAATAGAGGAGAGTGCGGCCACAGCTCACCACACTTCCTGTGCGCTTCCCTTCCCCCATTTATTGCAGTGCTGAAAACTGTCCTTGAACAAACGCCTACACCAGCGGGATATCTGCAGGAAGTCACGAATTGCAGGTGTGTAGTTGGCAAAGGCAGGGATTGGTGGAGTGAACTCCCTGTGCGTTCACACGTGTACTGAGCAGTTGTGAAACAGACCTTTGTGAGCTGAGTGATTTTTTCCAGGATATATTGTTCAGTGTGTGTGTGTGTGTGTGTGTGTGTATGTATGTAAATAAAAGAGCACTATCTTATGCTATTTTGGGTATAAAAGGAGTGCATGTACCGTTTGTGATGCCCTGCCAAAAAAAAGAAGCCTTGACAATGATGGAATCTGGCAGATATCACCTCAATTCTGTGGTCAGTCAACATCAGAAAGGCATTGAACTGACCATTGTGGAGCTAAAATACTTGCTCTGAATTGGATCACGAAGAAACCAAGTGAGGGACCAGCTACTAAGTAATGGGCTGGATTTTCAAAAGTCAAAATCCACAGCCAGGCATGGTGGTACGAGCCTGTAACTCCAGCACTCTCGAGGCTGAGGTAGGCGGATCACTGAGTTTGAGGCCAGCCTGAACTACACAGCAAGCCCCTGTCTCCAAAAACCAAAGAGAAAAAAAGTCATGACCATGAGAGTCTAAGGGAAGGAACTGCTCTAGATGAAAGGGAAATAGAGAAAGGAAAGCCAAATGACACATGAGTCCTTGGATTGGGAAAAGAAATACTCCTAGGAAAAATAGTAATATTCCTAGGAATTTCTGTTGCTAAAACACAATACCACAGACTAGGTAATTTATAAAGAAGAGTTTGCTTAATTCACGGTTCCAGGGGACTGGGAAACTCAGGGTCCCAGCAACTGTGTCCAGCCAGGGCCTTTGTGTTTTATGCTAAAGGTTGGAGGGTGATACCTGGAGGAAAAAGGCACTGCTCTGGGGACCAAGCCACACTCAGCAGGAGGCCACACCCGACTCTGGACCCAAACACCTCCCCTGGGCCACTTCAGGCACAGAGAGGGGTGGGAACCAGAGGAGGTGTCTCCTGGGAATGACTGCAATTGGCAACATATGAGGAGGGGCTGAATGGTGGATATTGGCACACAGAGTCTGTGTGCCAATTCTGAGTTGGATTGTCACCGTGTGGTTGAGTAAGACAAACGCCCAAACACCCTCGCAGGACTTAGGGGTCAAGAGCCGTGATTTCTGCAACTTAGTCTAAGATGGCTCTGGAAGGAAATGCTCCACGGGTTCCCTATTCATTGACCATTTTGAAATTCCTAGTTTAAAAAGAAAATCATTTTTGTGACTGGTGTCCCTATTAACATTTTTACAAATGTGATTTCCTTTGTTACCGTTTCTAGGGTAAGTGCTGGAATTATGAATACTAGATGGTTTTAGGGCCTAAGAGTGGCTGGCTTCCATGAAGAGGGCAGTGCGCTGTGAATGGCAGCAGCTCCTGAGAGCAGCTGCCCCCAGTCTGTGACCCAGAAGACACCTGTGCCTGGCAGGCTCCCGAAGGCATTTCAGGTGCATGACACCTGCTATCCTCCCGGGACCTCGCCGCCTGAGTGTAGACTCTAAACAATAGACCATTTGTGACTAGTGGCTCATTGCCATCAAGAGATTTTCTTAAGGACTACAGGATGAAGCTTTGTGTGCAGTATTGTTCAAAGGAGTTGTGCAAATCATTATAAATCCAAAATCCAGAAGAAAAACTATTTGACCTAAAAAAGCATCAAGCTGGGGCTGGGGATTTAGCTCAGTGGCATAAGCGCCTGCCTTGCAAGCCTGTGGTCGTGAGTTTGATCCCTAGTGCCGGTAAAAATACAAAAAAAAAAAAAAAAAAAACCAAACTACTGAGCTGAAAGCAAATAAAAATCATTGCTCATGGTTGGTGTGAACTGTTCTAGCTACTTGGTTTTTTGTTTGGTTTGTTTCAGTTTTTGGAGACAGTATCTCATTACGTAATCCAGGCTGGCCTTGAACTCAGTGACCCTCTTGTCTCAGCCTTCCAAGTAAGGGAATTACAGGCGTAGACCACTACACCTGGTACTCTAGCTACTTTGTAAACTAGGTTAGTTTATCTCCTAAACCTGAACATTAGCCTGGCCCATGCCAAATTCCCTTCCTAGGTCCATATCCAGAAAAAAATTCCGGCTGTGGGCTCTGCAGAACAAGTAACTGGGTTTGTTAGAATAGTCAAAGAGGAAATAATGCAGTCCCCAAGGGAACAGATAAAACAATAGGGTGCAGTCAGAGGTAAGCTGTTCCACAGCTAGGGGAAACCATACAGCCTGGCTGTGCCCCAGGATCTGGAGAACTCTTTTAAAAACACTGAGGGGGAAGACTGGAGGCTCTGAAGTCTACTTATCCAATAATGTAATTTTTAAAAGTAAAAAAGCAGCCAGGTGTGGGGGTGCATGCCTAGATTCCTATACTGGGAAGGCTGAGGCAGCAGAATTGTTCCAAGTTGGAGCCAACCCTTGGCTCCATAGTGAGTTCAAGGCCAGCTTAAACTACAAAGTGAGATGCTGTCTCAAAAAACCACACACACACTCCAAGACAAAAACATAAAAACTTCCTACAATTTATTGGATATATTTGTTTGTATTTGTGACCCAGTTTTTCTTTTTTCTGAGTAGGATTTAAAATTAATGTGACCCAGTTTTTAAAGCAAGGAAACAATGGATGTAAAATTGAGGTCAGGCGCCAAGGGGTTAGAATTAAACAAGAAGCGGAAAGGTACAAACAACGTTCTCTTTCTTAAATTGGAGAAGGTCCTTGGTTCATTTTATGAGTAGGCTTTGTACTCTATCAGCTTGTACAGCCAGAATTATACAACTAGTACAGGCACAGTCATAAAATGGCAAACTCATAGACACAATTAGAACAAGGTAAAACCAATGGTGCTGTCTGCCTGTGCTCCTGCTGCCCGGCACCCAAGCGCCCTGCTGGATTTAGTGAGCCTTGACTGGGTCCAGCCACTTTTCTCCTGATAATGCTCTAGGTCACTTTGACTATGTCCAGCTCGTGTTTGCCATAGTTAGAAGAGTATATGGATTGCTCCCAGCCTGCATCAGAGGTCTTTTCTATGGACAAAGCGGCTCAGCCAGGGACACCCTTAACTTTGCTTGCTCTATTTGGGCCCCCTCCTCCCATTCCCAGGATGGTCCTACATTGGGGTAAACAAGTTCTTTTAAGTAATTTAGAATTAGTTTGCCTGATGATATGTGACTTAATCCAATTCATGTGACCTATGATGTAATAATCCACCATCTGCCTTGTACTTCCTGCTAGAAAACTGTATTTAAACAGAACACGGCACCAGGAATATAGCTCAGCGGCTTGGTGCCTGCCTGTCAAGCACAAGGTCATGAGTTTGATTCCCAGTACCAAAAAATAATAAATAATTAAATACTTAAAAAAATAAGTAAAAAATAACGCAAAGCTGAGTCATGGCCTGGTGATTTGGACTTGGTCCTGCCAGCCCACTAGTGTAATAAACAAGTTGCCTTCTAGATTCTTCAGTGCAAACTTTAGTCTTCCATTTGGTTTGATATTGGTTTTTCTGCAGCAATCTAGGTTACAGAAGTTCTAGCAAATATACTGAATTTTATACATTAAAAACCACTGGTAACCCTATTCCTCCCAGGTATACACCGTGTGTTGCATTTGCAAATAACAATGTAGATAAAAAGCATAAGACTCCTACTCTCAGGCTTGTGGGTTCATGGTCCATGTGGGACCCCAAGTATCAGGGACCTGGCCAGGATCCCCAATTGCCTGTATCAAAGGTATGGTGAGTGGATAAAGTGAGAAACAGAGACAAATTTAGTAATAGATGATGAATGGGAAGTCAGTGCCTCCAGATGGGCCAAGAGCTCCACATGCCAAGACAGCCACTATTTATTGAGGGTATACAGTGATGGACGGGGCCAGTGAAAAATTCAAAATTGTTGCAGGACTCAGAGATTTATGCCTTGACTGCAAGTATACTCCTGGGATGACTCAAGAGGGTGGAAATGATTTTATGCTAAGAAGGATCTTGCCCTAGAGTTTCTTTTTTAATTTAGTGGTTTTAGTCTTAGTTTTAGTTTCAGTGGGTGGGAGAGGTGGCCCATCCCTAAAGGGTTAAATGGGACCTCTCACAAGGGTGATACTGAGAATCCCAAACCTCCATTTATCCCACAGGGAAGTATGCAAAATTAGCTATTGTGAATTTGTGGTTACCAATACAGAAAACCATTACATTTTTTAATTTGGGAAGAGACTTCCAAAATGTTTGTCTAATCTAAAAAGTAACCATCTAAAAATTATAAGTACCAGTGAAAATTACAGTTTGGGAAACTGAGGCAGGCTTTCTAGGCAGAAAATCAATAGCAAAAGTCAGGAAAAAGAAAATTGAGAGTTTTAAATTAATTAAAAATTGTTTGTCTTTTTTCTTTTTCTTTTTCTTTTTCTTTTTTTTTTTTGAGACAGTTCAGGCTGGCCACTCATTTTGTAGCCAAGCCTGGTCTCCAACTCATGGCAATCCTCCTGCCTCAGCTACCTGAGTGCTGGGATTACAGGCATGCACCACCACACTTGGCTGAATTAATTAAAATTTAAAATCATGGAGACTAGCGGTATGGCTCAGTGGCATGGTGCCTGCCTGGCAAGCTTGAAATCCTGAGTTCAATTCCTGGTTTTAAAAAAAAAAGTTGGGGCTGGGGATTTAGCTCAGTGGCATAACAGTCTACCTTGCAAGCCTGCCGTCAAGAGTTCAATCCCACATACCAAGAAAAAAAAAGTTAAAATCATGGATTGTAAGCAAAATTAAGCCAAATGATCAACTGGGATAAAAATTTGCCACACAGATGCCACACTGAAGAATTAACCCTAAGGATTAATACTTCTATTATAGAAAGAACCTATATAAACCTATATATCAGTAAGAAAAATACTACTGTCAAAATCAGTGTTAATTCATAGAAGAAAGCACACAGCCAAGAAAACAATTGAAAAAAAATCAGTTTTCCTAGCAATCCGGAGGTTGAAAAAAGCAAGCCTAACTTTTTATTAAGGAGAGTGTTTGGGGGCCAGGGTGCAGCTCAATGGCAGACCATTGCTCAGCGTGTGCCAGAGACTAGATTCAAATCCCCACAAGGCAGAATAGGAGAGATTGACCCACAGATTTCATTTTTCATTAATCAAAATAACAAAGAATTAAACAGTTGTATATGGAGTTGTTTGTATGGACAAAAGTGTGCTGGAATAAATTTTCAGACTTCTACTAGAAGATCTAATTAGGGGGGCTAGGGGCTTAGCTCAGCAGTGTAAGTGCCTGCTTGGCAGGTACAAGGTTGTGAGTTTGATTTGTGGTACCAAACAAACAAACAAAAAAATCTAATTAGGGATCTGACCTTATGTAGTCTTAGCCAGTTTCGTACCTTTGATCTCATGTTCACTGGAACACAGGGATACAGTCCCAGAAGGAGGGTTAACAGGTTTATAGTCTGTGAGTTGTTCTCCTTGCTATAAGGAGAGCAACAACTGGTCTACCACCTGAAAACTTACTGAGCAAATCCTGGAGCACTCAGATGTGGGCTGTTTTGTGGCTATAAAAGTCAGATTATTAGACAGGTGTGGTGGTACTTTTCTATAATCCTTGTATTCAGGAGGCTGAGGCAGGGGGATCTCCTTAAATTTGAAGCCAACCTGGGCTACATGGTGTGTTCAAAACCAGCCTGACTACTGAGACTCTGACTAAAAACAAACAACACAGATTATTGAGGACTTTGGTTCTGGTGTCCCCAAATTTCAGCTTTTATATTTACCAGGAGCCAACACCCCTTGGGATTTCCTTCAGTGTGGGATAATTGTGTAGACCATCTGTAAACGCTTCCCTGGACATCATGTTTGGAGACTGTTCTAATTAACACCCTGAGTCAGGTGTCTGTCTGTGTCCCAGAATAAAGAACTCTGTACTGCCCAAAACAAGGGGAGGCTCACTCCTTGATTGAAAAGACTGTGCTGAAAGTGAAAGTTTCAGGGCTCAGGGATGGGAATTAAGACTGTGGTTAGGGTAGACAGGGCAATCTGAAGGGTTTCTCACCTGGGCCTCAGTTACTGATGCCACGGAGGGAGGAGTAATGAGGGAAAGAAAGACACACAAACTTGAATATCGTATGCTTCTCTTCTATGAGAAACCCATAGTATAAACAGATTAAGGAGAAAAATGAAAGATGGTAAGAAACAGGGAGACAGATCTTCTGCAGATGGTAAGGGGCTAGAAGATGGAGGGGGACGGAAGGCAGACAGGAAAACAAAGAACTGAAATGATTCTGTACAGACAGTATCAGTTCCCTAGGAGGACGGTTAACATGTGCTTCAAACACATACTAATAAAAATAAAATTTAAGGCCAGACATGGTGGCACATACCTGTGATCCCAGCACTCCAGAGCCTGAGGCAGGAAGATCTCTGTGAGTTTGAGGCCAGCCTGGGCTACACAGTAAGTTCAACATCCTGTCAGCCTGGACAACATGGTGAGACTCTGCCAAAATACAATACAATACAATACAATACAATACAATACAATACAATACAATACAACACAATACAATAGCACTTAAAAAGCCAGACACAAAAGGACACGTATTGTATGAAATTAGTTCTATAAAGCGTCTAGAATAAATAAATCCGCGTTGGAAAAATGCGGAGCGAGGGTGCCACAGGGCTGGGGAAAGGCAGGGAGCGAGGCAGTCAGGGAATAGGGGTTTGACGCAACATGGGAAGCTTTCCAGTCTGGGCAAGGGTGATTGTTGGCCCACGCTGGCGTTGTACTCAATGCCACTGAGTTGTGCACCGAAACAGTTGGTGATGGACCAAGTGGACTTCATCTCATTGTTTCTAAAAGACGAAGCCGGCCAGGAAACAGTCTCGGGCGGGCGAGTGAAGCCTCTGGAGCGCGCCCTCCCCCGGGCCTGCCCCTCACCCACTGAGCGAAACCTCTGCCAACTTCGCTGCGGGCCAGCACAGCCCCAGCTCCTGCCCGGAAGGGTTTGTGGCCGGGGAGAGCAGGCAAACCTCCTCCAGCCTTCCTCTCAGCGGGGTCCGGCCGGGCCGCCCCGGGGGGTGACCCCAAAGGACAGGTAGGGGCGGGGCCGGCCGGGTGGTGGAGGAGGGCGCAGCCGGCCAGGGGCACCAGGAGTCCCTGCCGGGTGGCTGGAGGGGCCCGGGCACCTCTGGAGCGGGCCGGGCTGCGCAGGAGTGGGGCTGCTCGCTGGAGGACCTGACTGGGTCCTGCAGGCAACACGATCCGATCCGTCCCGGCCCTAACGCCGGCCTGTCACCTGCGCTGTCCTTGGCGAGGACGCTGGGCTCCTGCCCGAAGTATTTGCGTGGTGCTGGGACTCCCGGGCCTGCAGGTACGTGTGCGCGGACCTCTCCTGGGACCGCACGGTGACCAGGCCCCCGTTGGGGACGTCCCGGGGAGTGGGCTCCCGCCGAAGACCGGGTCGCCAGGCTCCCCTTCCTGCTTGGGAGCTTGCTGTTTACCCCTAGGGGAGTTATTTATAGATGAGTAGATTCTCCCGGCAGGGCACTGGCCCGGCTGGTTTCTCTTTGGAGATGTTGAATGAGGGGCGGGTCACCCAAGGGCTCCCAGCTCCCAGGAAACTGCAGACAGCGAGTTCCCATCCTGCTGCCTCTTCTGCTGTCAGCCCTTTCCCTCCAGAGGTTGGACCGTTTCACAGACAGGGTACCATCCTAGCCTGTGGTTAGGGGCTGCTTCTTTAGCTGGTATTTTAGATGAGCCATTTCCAGTGCACGTGGCTAAGAGTAGAGTTTGTGTTTATCTTTCTGTTTTTAAAAATCAAAGGTAACCTGCAAAGCAAGAGATATCAAAGGAGGCAAAGACACGTGTGTAGAGGCAGTCCTAGGCCTCTGTAGAAGCAAGACCCAGTGGAAAAAGGCTGCTTGCCTGACAGCAGGCTAAGCAGAGCTGTGTGCCGGGCTCCCAGGAGTCTGTCCAGCATTGGGGTGGCTCCAGTAACAAAAGTTTATACATATATATATCTATATATATAATTTTTTTTTTATCAGTACTGGGGATCGAACTCATGACTGTCTGCTTGCAAGGCAGGCCCTTATGCCACTGAGCTAAATCCCCAGCCCCTCCCCCCCTTTTTTAAAGCCACAGTCTCACTCTGTAGTTCAGGCTGGCCTTGGACTTCCTACGTAGCTGGGGCTGGCCTCAAACTCACGTCACTCTCCTGCCTCAGCCTCCTAGAATGCTGGGATTACAGGGGTGCACCACACCTGGCTCCCGAAGGTTTACAATAGGAACAATTCTTTCCTGGAAGCAGTGATTGGCTTCTCTAAGCAGGGGAGTCTCAGTTCCTGGGAGAAAATGTTCTGCCTGGTGGAGGGAGGAGAGAATTCAGTCAGCGTGAAACTCAGCGGCCTGCCCTCTTACTTTTGGTCGCAGGGGACACACAGTGCCTCCTCGGCTGAGCCTGCTCTTTTACAGTTGTCCTCATCTGTGTTTGCTTGGTAACCCAAAATCCCTGGGGGCTGCTAGGGGCACTTTTCAGGCATGGGCCCCAGTGTCTACCACAATATTTCTGCCTCTTTCCTGCACACTGGGATCACCATGTGTGACAGCACTGGGGACTGAGCCCAAGGCCTTTGCACTGAGCTACATTCCCAGCACACCCCCTTTTTTATTTTTTTTATCGGTACCACGGATCGAACTCACGACCGCCTGCTTGCAAGGCAGGTGCTTATGCCGCTGAGCTAAATCCCCAGCCCTGACCCCCCCCCAACTTTTTAAAATTCCGAGACAGGGTCTCACTAATCTCTAACTTTGCCCAGGCTGGGCTCAAACTTTTGCTCCTCTTCCCTCGGCCTCCAGAGTGCTGGGATTGCAGGTGTACACCCCATGCCCACCTCCTGCTCTTCAGTTTTCTAAGTGAAGTTACAAAGCAGCAGGCCAGGATTGGAGGCTGACTTCACTGCCCATCTCCCCCAGCTGGGAGTGACACAATCTATAGGATTCTAGGTGACAGGGTCTCTGGCCCTGGCACTGACAACAGGGTGACAGATTTCCAGCAGATGGGTTTTTCCAGGCCTGAGAAAGGCTGTGCAGTTTGTTGGGAAAGAGCTCCCTCGCTGCTTCCCAGAGCCTGTGCTGCTCTGGCCAGAGGCACAGTGCCAAGGTCCACCTGCAGCGCTCCAGGTGAACAATGGGGCCTGGCCTGTGCTCTGGGCTATGCAGTGTCCAGGTGGGTGTTCACCCATCACACGGACAGGGGTGCTGTTACTATTTCTGCATGGTATGGATTAGATCTGGATCCCCCACCCCATAGCCTCTTGTGTTCATAGCGGGCCAGGGGGCTGGATCGTGGGTGCAGGCCACAAGGCAGTGGATTGGTCCCCCAACAGCCTCACAGCTGAATGAAATGTTGGGAGGTACAGGTTGCAGGATGGGGTGGCCTGGGGGGTCTGTCACCCTTCCTACTGCCTGGATCTGTCTGCTTTCCCCTGCCCTGCCACCCTGCCCTGGAGCCAGCTGACCATGACCTGATTTTTAAAAACAGAAAGATAAACACAAGCATGAGCCCCGATAAACCCCTCCTCCTTTAAACTGGGTCGGTGTTCAGAAAAGTTTCTAAGGTACTGAATGTGCTGCTGTGTATGTTGGAAAGTTGGGGGCAGAGGTGGGATCTGAACCCAGGATGTCCAACTGTGGCCTTTGTTGCTTCCCTATGCAAATTGGGACCCAGGTGGGCTCAGTGCTGGGCTAACAGGAAGGACACAGGGAAGAGTGCTCTTTTCATTGTGGTTGTAATGGTTTTAGTCAGTTTCCTCATTCTGTCTTTTGGCCTCCAAAGCCCCTCCCTCACCATGCCCTAGAAAAGTGAAACCTTGGCTCTAGAAATGGGACAGGCATGGGGTATGCTGGCGGAATGTCAGTGCTTGGGAGGCTGAGGCAGGAGGATTACTATGAATTCAAGGTCATCTTAGACTACATAGTGAGGCCAGGTCTCATCTTGCCCCTCACCCCAACAAAGAAAAGGGATGGGCCAGGATCTTGGGGAAGATAAAGCACAGAGTCCCAGGGGCAGGTCCACCTCTTTGCAGCTCCCCCATTCCGAGGCAGTGTGGGAGCTCTAGGTGTTTGAAAGTGGTAGGAAGCAATCAGCTGCTCATCTTGAAGCTGCAGCGCCCCACCTGGGGTTGTCTGGTGGCTCCTAGATGGTGATTCCCATCCTCTACTCTGTATTTCTGTGCCTGGGATGTTCGGGCCCTGTCCACTCTCCTGGATAAAGAGAAACTGCTTTCACTTGTGAGCATCTTGCTCTGGTGGGCAGCAAAGTGGAAGAGACAGCAGTTCCACCAAACTGAATAAGTGGAGGTAGCAGCCAGTTCAGCTCCAAAATCAGTTACTGAGCACCTACTGCACTGGGCAGTGTTAAGGACCAGGGATGCCAAAGTGAGGAGGTCACTGCAAATCACGGTTTTGGACTGAATCATGTTAGACTCTATCAGAACCCCAGAATTTTAAAGCTCAAGGAGAAGTTAAGAAATGACAGGGGTCTTGCTCTATTGTGCAGGCTGGTCTTGAACTCCTGCGCTTAAGTGATCCTCCTGCCTCAGCCTTCTGCGTAGCGGAGACTGCAGACTCATACGATGGCACTCAGCTCACACACTCTGCGTGTGTGTCTCCATGTGGAGGTACTGGGGATCCAACCCAAAGCACTCTACCACTCTGCTGCCCCCTCAGCCCTTTTATTTTTATTTTCAGACAGGCCTCACGAAGACATCTAGGCTGGCCTCAGGAGTCCCTGGAAACTCGCAATCCTCTTGCCTCAGCCTCCCAAGTCACTGGGATAACAGGCACATGGTACCAAGCCAGACAGGATTTGTCTTTTTTTTTTTTTAGTCTTTGAAATACTAGGACTCGGATGAAATAATTTGCTTAAGACTGCACGGCTATCTAGCAACATAAAAAAAGAGGCATGCTGATGAAATTAAGTAGAAGGTCATTTTAATTTTTACCTTTTTTGTGGACTTTTTGGCCCATAAAAGAGTCATAAAAATAGCCCTCGGCTTCCTCCCCTGTTAACATCTTAGACAACCATGGGTTTGTCAGAGTAATGTGTCACGCCCTTTACTAAGCTCAGATGTCAGATTCCCCCAGTTTTCCCACCAATGTCTTTTCCTGGTCCAGGCTCCAATTCAGGATACCATACCGGGAATCAAACTCAGGGCCTCACACTTGCCAGGGAGGTGCAGTGCCGCTGAGCTACCTTCCAGCCCCCAGGTGCAGTAGTTTCTAACTTTGGATTTGCCTCTGGCGGAAGCTCTGACTTGCTGACAGTCAGCTACCACAGGGGAAGCCCCACGCCTCCCTGCAGCTTTCTGGGTATGTGCAAGTCAGTTAGGGACAGTCCTAGCAGGAGGCTTCACACGGAGGGGCGGCATGGAGATACAGAACGGTTCAGGGTGCCGGGCTTACAAAGGAGCTCTGCAGAACTGGGTGACGCGTGCCACGCCTCCTCGGGGTTGAAAGCCATCTCTTTTTGAGGTGCCTTTTCAGTTTTAGCTCCTGCTCCTTTGGTTTTCTGACTTTTTTGTAATGATTTGGTATGATTTCTTCATAGAGCCTAGGTATGAGCCCGCTATTGGTTACCTGTGTTCCAAACACCTCACCCCAGGAGCTAATTAATAGGGCCTTGTAACTGCAATGTTCCTGGCCTCTGGAATAGCCTTCTTCTATTTTGGGGTTATAAAGGTGTTCTGTGTTCTCTACTGAGAATTTTATAGTTTTGCCTTCTAGATGTAGATTGTTTTAAAATCCTAAAACCTTGGTTGGACATGGTGGCGCACATCTGTAACCCCAGTACTCAGGAGGCTGAGGCAGCAGGAGTGTCTCGAGATTGAGGCCAGCCTGTGCTACACAGCAAGACTCTGTCTCAAAAGAAAAGAAAGCAAAACAAAAACAAACCACCCCCCCATCATAAAAGCATCTTTAGTAAAGGGGAAAATTCGATTCACTGCTTAAAAGCGCAGCAGGCTGGGATGTAGCTCAGTCATAGAGCGCTTGCCTAGCATGGGCAAGGTCCTGGGGTCCTTTCTCAGCGCCATG